AATGTCCGTGCGCGAGCTCGGCTCTAGCGCTAGGCGTTGGCACGCGCACGAGCTCGGCTCGAGTGCGCGCCGTAATGTCCGTGCGCGAGCTCGGCTCTAGCGCTAGGCGTTGGCACGCGCACGAGCTCGGCTCGAGTGCGCGGCGTAATGTCCGTGCGCGAGCTCGGCTCTAGCGCTAGGCGTTGGCACGCGCACGAGCTCGTCTGAAGTGCGCGCCGTAATGTCCGTGCGCGAGCTCGGCTCAAGCGCCAGGCGTTGGAACGCGCACGAGCTCGGCTCAAGTGCGCGCCGTAATGTCCGTGCGCGAGCTCGGCTCTAGCGCTAGGCTCTAGCGCTAGGCGTTGGCACGCGCACGAGCTCGGCTCGAGTGCGCGGCGTAATGTCCGTGCGCGAGCTCGGCTCTAGCGCTAGGCGTTGGCATGCGCACGAGCTCGGCTCGAGTGCGCGGCGTAATGTCCGTGCGCGAGCTCGGCTCTAGCGCTAGGCGTTGGCACGCGCACGAGCTCGGCTCAAGTGCGCGCCGTAATGTCCGTGCGCGAGCTCGGCTCTAGCGCTAGGCGTTGGCACGCGCACGAGCTCGGCTCGAGTGCGCGGCGTAATGTCCGTGCGCGAGCTCGGCTCTAGCGCTAGGCGATGGCACGCGCACGAGCTCGGCTCGAGTGCGCGGCAAGCTGGAAAAGAGGAGTTGCCACCACCAGGGAGATGCATACGTACTTATAATGAGAGGAGGCGCTGGGCTGCCAGAATGGATGAATGTGGTTGAGTAGAGAACCGGGACCGAGCTCCTGGAGAGATGAATTGAGGGAGTCCCCGGGCAGCAGCCAAGTGGCTGCTCCTATCCACCGGAAGGAGTGGCGGATAGCGAGAAAGGAAGAGAGGTTACATGCAGGGAGCACAGGTTTATGAATTTGTTCAGACCAGAGGGGTCGTCAAGGAATTGTTTAAGGAGTAATTATAGTCTATGAATGCTGCATGGCAAGGAAAACTCACAAAACCCGTGGGGAAACCGTGAGGAAACCTTCGGAAGACCCTACATTGAGAGAGGGATCCACTCCACGGACAGACAGGCTAATCGTCCAGGACCTAAACTACAGAACAAAGACCATTGCCAATACTCCTTATAAGAAGATCCTTAGAGGGTGGAGCAGTGTGACTCAAAGTGGATTTTAGTAGAGCATGTATTTAATGCCGATGTAGTTGAGGCAGTGACGGCAGTCAGGTAAGGGCGAAGCGTGAGAGACCAGCCCGGCGGAGCCGCCCCGCAGAGAGAGAATATGCCGGGGACATTGAGAAGGAGCACCGCCTACAGCCACTCAGCGTGCACACAAACCGTAGCGGGCTGTGCTGCACACCAAAAGCCAATGAGTGCGGCCTGGGGAAGATAGCCCGGCCAGGTTCGAAGGCCACGCCGAACAGTACTCATGCAATCCAAGCAGGCCCGTCATTGTGAAGCAGAACTCTCCTAGCGTTGGATTGTTCACCCACCAATAGGGAACGCGAGTCCATGGTCGACACTGGTTCCACAATGAAAGGATGAGAGCACACGAATGCGTCGAAGCGTGAGGTCGAGAATGCGGCAGGAGGCGGACACTGGCGTAGCGTCAAACAGCGGCCACCGGCGTGGAAGCGTGCTGTTTTGCGACCGAGACGTACGGCGACGAAGCGTGCGGCCACCGACGTGTGCTGCGATGAAGCGTGCGGCGCCACCGACGTGCTTCGTTGAAGCGTGCTGCGTCAAAGCGTTTGCTGCGTCGTTGAAGCGCGCTGCGTCGTTGAAGCGTGCTGC